AGAGTGCTGCAACCTATGTCACAGGCATTCTCTTTCTCAAGATGAAACTTAAATGCAAGTCATCGCAGAAACCAAACAACAGAGCGGGACACACCCGTAAACTTCAGAAAAGTCGACCAACCAAACAAACTTGTGAATAAAAAGTCACCTACTCTATTTGGGGAGACTAACACCGAACTAACCAAAGATAAAATCATGAAGTGGCACACATTTGAGCAAATGCCCAGACTACGAGCTAGCTGGCGCTTGGGCCCTACCACAGCTTCACTGAGTTAGTCCGGGTGTGAATAAGGACTGTTTTAACTCCCATCCCCCTACCCTACCCCCCCCCCCCCGCCCCCACAGATATACTGTAGCACTGCAAGGTCCTCAGTGTGTTAGTACAACTGGCAGATTTGACAGACTGAACTAGAGCCATAGCCGATGGTATGTGGTTTTACTCTTTTCCATTTCCAACGACACCAGGGTGTTTTAAGTGCATATGTGGACATCTCGTTGATCACTTTCATACGAGATATCTAGACATAACAGGTACTGCCACAGATGGTTTGGGTGGTTGAGGAAAAGGGGGGGGGGGGGGGGGGGGGGGAGGCTAAACATCTATATCCTGACTGGACTCCAGCCGTCTCTGTTCAAGAATAGAACAATGTCTCCAAAAGTCCAAGAATGGACCAATATCTACAAAAGTCCTAGAATAGACCAATATCTTTAAATGTCCAAGAATGGACCAATGTCTTCAAAAGTTCAAGAATGGACCAATATCTTAAAATGTCCAAGAATGGACCGATGTCTTTAAATTTCAAAGAATGGACAATGTCTCCAAAAGTCCAAGAATGGAAAAATATCTTTAAATGTCCAAGAATGGACCAATGTCTACAAAAGTCCAAGAATGGACCAATATCTGTAAATGTCCAAGAATGGACCAATGTCTTCAAAAGTCCAAGAATGGAACAAAATCTTTAAATGTCCAAGAATGGACCAATGTCTCCAAAAGTCCAAGAATGGAACAATATCTCCGAAATTCCAAGAATGGACCAATATCTTTAAATGTCCAAGAGTGGACCAATTTCTCAAAAACTCCAAGAAAATACCAATATCTCCAAAAGTCCAAGAATGGACCAATATCTCCAAAAGTCCAAAAATGGACCAATGTCTATAAAAGTCCAAGAATGGACCAATATCTTTAAATGTCCAAAAATGGACCAATATTCCCAAAAGTCCAAGAATGGACCTATATCTACAAAAGTCCAAAAATGGACCAATATCTTTAAATGTCCAAGAGTGGACCAATTTCTCCAAAAGTCCAAGAATGGACCAATATCTCCAAAAGTCCAAGAATGTACCAATATCTCCAAAAGTCCAAAAATGGACCAATGTCTACAAAAGTCCAAGAATTGACCAATATCTTTAAATGTCCAAGAATGGACTAATATCCCCAAAAGTCCAAGAATGGACCAATATCTACAAAAGTCCAAAAATGGACCAATATCTTTAAATGTCCAAGAATGGACCAATTGTCTCCAAAAGTCCAAGAATGGACCAATATCTACAAAAGTCCAAGAATGGACCAATATCTACAAAAGTCCAAAAATGGACCAATGTCTGCGAGCTTGGCACCTAATCTATTCCTCTCAGCGTTCAGCAGCTGTCACATCCGGCCCAGAGTTTTGCTCGTTGTCTACTTATGGACTTAACTCTTGTTCCAAAACTTGAGTTTTGAGTGCACATCCGTTTTACTGATTTGGCTTCTTTGTGTTTAGACTGTTGGTTTATCACCTCTCAAGGAGATGCACCCCGGCTTCCGAAGAAATACCCTTAGTCATGGGTCCCCAGACCCCACGGAAGGAGAGGGGATACCTAAATTAGGCTGATGACAGGCTGTACTGTTTGTTTATGACAGCACTGTCCTCCGATGCCCGTGTTTATGACAGCACTGTCCTCCGATGGCAGTGTTTAAGACAGTACGGACCTCCGATGCCCGTACTACTGTTACATGTAGGATGAAGCACACCCCAAATCATCATCCTGCAGAAGGACCTCATGTCTGGCCACAAATATCGTCAAACTCCAGTCGCTCGCTGTTATCGAAAGAACGGAGGTCCCGCCATTTGCTGTTTTGACAAATATTTCTCTAACTGAGTTGTCGCTTATGTTCCGTGCTTTTATAACTTTAAGGTAAACAACCTTGCCCTATATGTTAAGCACGTGCCCGTAACATAATGTCAACAGAGCGTGTCACCCTGATAGCCACGCCCACTAGGTTGAAACCATGACCGTCTCCTGGAGACACACATGGTCACGTGGGGATGTGTGTGCGTCGTTAGTTATTATCATTATCGACAACACTGCCTCGCTACTCACATGTTCCCCTCATCTTGCCGATCTCCCCAAGTTTGCAACAATGTGTGAAATGTTCCCTCATCTTGCAATCTCTCCAAGTGTGCAGAAATGTGTGCAATGTTTCTTACATTTTGCAATCTTCACAAGTGTGCGACAATGTGTGCAATGTTCCTTACATCTTGCAATCTCCCCAATTGTGCGACAATGTGTGCAATCTTCCCCACATCTTGCAAACTCCCCAAGTGTGCGACAATGTATGCAATGTTCCTCACATCTTGCGATCTCCCCAAGTGTGCAAGAAACTCCTGGATGCAGCCACTATGGGATGTCTCTCGTATTATAGCTCTATCTCTGTTTGTACACATCTTCTGTCGCTGTCATTCGCTATCTCTGTACACATCTGCTGTCACTGTCATTCTCAATCTCTGTTTGTACACATCTTCTGTCGCTGACATTCGCTATCTCTATTTGAACACATCTTCTGTCGCTGTCATTCGCTATTCCTATTTGTATACATCTTCTGTCGCAGTCATTCGCTTTTCCTGTTTGTACACATCTTCTGTCGCTGTCATTCGCTATTTCTGTTTGTACACATTTTCTGTTGCTGTCATTCGCTTTTCCTGTTTGTACACATATTCTGTCGCTGTCATTCGCTATTCCTGTTTGTACACATCTTCTGTAGCTGTCATTCGCTATCCCTGTACACATTTTATGTTTCTGGCATCTGCTTTCTCTGTACACATCTTATGTCGCTGGCATCCACTATCTCGATTTGTAAAAATCGGGTTATACCCCAAGTTATCCCTGTTATTTATTCTCAACATGGCCGGAAATGACGATTGCTATTTTTAAAAAAAAATTCTGGTGACGTGTCAGCGTCTCTAACTCTTGTTCGTAGATTTAGATGTTTTGGTTTTACTGGACTCTCTAATATCTACACTTGTCTCAACACATTGTGCCTGGACATTCTAACATCTACACTTGTCTCAACACAATGTGCCTGGACACTCTAACATCTACAGTTGTCTCAACACAATGTGCCTGGAATCTCTAACATCTACACTTGTCTCAACACATTGTGCATGGACACTCTAACATCTACACTTGTCTCAACACAATGTGCCTGGAATCTCTAACATCTACATTTGTCTCAACACATTGTGCATGGACACTCTAACATCTACATTTGTCTCAACACAATGCGCCTGGACACTCTAAAATCTACACTTGTCTCACCACATTGTGCATGGACACTCTAACATCTACACTTTTGTCAACACAATTTGCCTGGACACTCTAACATCTACACTTGTCTCAACACAATGTGCCTGGAATCTCTAACATCTAAATTTGTCTCAACACATTGTGCATGGACACTCTAACATCTACACTTGTCTCAACACAATGTGCCTGGACACTCTAACATCTACACTTGTCTCAACACAATGTGCCTAGAATCTCTAACATCTACACTTGTCTCAATACATTGTGCATGGACACTCTAACATCTACACTTGTCTCAACACAATGTGCCTGGAATCTCTAACATCTACATTTGTCTCAACACATTGTGCATGGACACTCTAACATCTACACTTGTCTCAACACAATGTGCCTGGACACTCTAACATCTACACTTGTCTCAACACAATGTGCCTGGAATCTCTAACATCTACACTTGTCTCAACACATTGTGCATGGACACTCTAACATCTACACTTGTCTCAACACAATGTGCCTGGAATCTCTAACATCTACATTTGTCTCAACACATTGTGCATGGACACTCTAACATCTACACTTGTCTTAACACAATGTGCCTGGACACTCTAACATCTACACTTGTCTCAACACAATGTGCCTGGAATCTCTAACATCTACACTTGTCTCAACACATTGTGCATGGACACTCTAACATCTACACTTGTCTCAACACAATGTGTCTGGAATCTCTAACATCTACATTTGTCTCAACACATTGTGCATGGACACTCTAACATCTACATTTGTCTCAACACAATGTGCCTGGACACTCCAACATTTACGCTTGTCTCAACACAATGTGCCTGGACATTCTAACATCTACACTTTTGTCAACACAATTTGCCTGGACACTCTAACATCTACACTTGTCTCAACACAATGTGCCTGGACATTCTAACATCTACAGTTGTGTCAACACAATGTTCCAGGTACTCCAACATCAACACTTGTTATCACACACTGTGTCCCTGTGTTGTAGATGTCATCACACACTGTGTCCCTGTGTTGTACATGTCACCACACACTGTGTCCCTGTGTTGTACATGTCATCACACACTGTGTCCCTGTCATCACACACTGTGTCCCTGTGTTGTACATGTCTTCACACACTGTGTCCCTGTGTTGTACATGTCATCACACACTGTGTCGCTGTGTTGTACATGTCTTCACACACTGTGTCCCTGTGTTGTACATGTCATCACACAATGTGTTGTAGATGTCATCACACACTGTGTTGTAGATGTCATCACACACTGTGTTGTAGATGTCATCACACACTGTGTTGTAGATGTCATCACACACTGGATTCCTCTTTTCATTAAAACTAGTAGCCAGTCTCTGCACGCTGCTCATGAAACCAACGACTGTGTTGACTGTAGTTGTTGTCTCTCCCACAGCTCTCTGGGTGAACGCCAGGCCATCTACAGTCTTTCCTTGGTCTGTTACACCGGCACCATCACCTGGTTCGACGCTTCCGGAGCCGTCCGGATAGAACTGATGCCGCTTCTACTGGGCAGCTTCCGCGCTTGTTTTCTGGTCCACTCGGACAACACTCAGGTGAAGGTCTCCCACGAGACTCCGCACGTGTCCCCGGCCCAGAACTACAGACTGAAGAGCCATGGCACCAGAACGTTACAACTGAACCATGTACTGACTGCTACGTCAAAGGGCAACGAGTTTTGTGTCCACTCCGGGAGTAACGGCCCCTTGTTGTTGTATGTTGAAGCTGTGAGAGGTCCCGATCTTCAGGGGGTGCCCAAGATTGTCCTGCACTACGATCTGGAGAAGTTGGACACCCACATGGAGGTCGATCCCATGGAAGGTGAGATCACGTGATTGTTAGGGTTGCCCACTGTCTCATATTGTCCAATGTTTGTGGCCTGTGTCCACGTTCATCATCACCATCATCATGTAAACAAGAGTGACTGTAGTTGAACTGTCAATGACATTTATCGTCCCTAGTCATCCACGAATGTGTTAATCAATTAATTATTTTTACAACTAGTTTCTACTTCCCCTCCCCTTTTTTGAAATGAAAAGACTCCTTAATTGTTTCGTTACGTCAATGGGCCCTCCATGACCACAGTGTCTTCGGTTACATGTATCACATGTATCACATGTATCACTAGCTTCTGCCTTTTTCCCATTGTTCTTGCAAGAGTTTAGTTATCGATTGTTATTTCTACACTAGCAGCTAGAGCCGTTTTGTGGGAATATTCAAATCCAGTGCCGGTTAGCCGGGCCTGTCATGGCTTCATCCTTAGAGGAACACTGACTTCAAGGAGTCACTGACAACCTAGCTCATCACAACACGTCACAGAACCGAGCATCCCCTAGCTCATCACAACACGTCACAAAACCGAGCATCCCCTAGCTCATCACAACACGTCTCAGAACCGAGCATCCCCTAGCTCATCACAACACGTCACAGAACCGAGCATCCCCTAGCTCATCACAACACGTCACAGAACCGAGCATCCCCTAGCTCATCACAACACGTCACAGAACCGAGCATCTCCTAGCTCATCACAACACGTCTCAGAACCGAGCACCCCCTAGCTCATCACAACACGTCTCAGAACCGAGCATCCTCTAGCTCATCACAACACGTCTCAGAACCGAGCATCCCCTAGCTCATTCACAACACGTCTCAGAACCGAGCATCCCCTAGCTCATCACAACATGACTCAGAACCGAGCATCCCCTAGCTCATCACAACACGTCACAGAACCGAGCATCCCCTAGCTCATCACAACACGTCACAGAACCGAGCATCCCCTAGCTCATCACAACACGTCACAGAACCGAGCATCCCCTAGCTCATCACAACACGTCTCAGAACCGAGCATCCCTTAGCTCATCACAACACGTCACAGAACCGAGCATCCCCTAGCTCATCACAACACGTCTCAGAACCGAGCACCCCCTAGCTCATCACAACACGTCTCAGAACCGAGCATCCTCTAGCTCATCACAACACGTCTCAGAACCGAGCATCCCCTAGCTCATCACAACACGTCACAGAACCGAGCATCCCCTAGCTCATCACAACACGTCACAGAACCGAGCATCCCCTAGCTCATCACAACGCGTCTCAGAACCGAGCATCCCCTAGCTCAGCGACATGTTTTCTGCTCAACTGCGAAACTTAGCGGTATTAACCAGACACTGAATAAACCAAAGACTGATTGCACTGGTGTCTCTGCTCCAGAGACTGATTGCACTGGTGTCTCTGTTACAGAGACTGATTGCACTGGTGTCTGTTCCAAAGACTGATTGCACTGGTGTCTCTGTACCTAAGACTGACTGCACTAGTTTCTCTGTTCCAAAGACTAATTGCACTGGTGTCTCTGTTCCAAAGACTGATTGCGCTAGTGTCTGTTCCAAAGACTGATTTCACCGGTGTCTCAGTGTGTGGGTATCGTCCTGGTCGTGGCTTCTGTGCACTGACACACGATGCTGTCTTGGTTCTGTTCAATTGTTCTGTGTATTTCAGTGAAGACTGTGGAGAACAAGGTTGTTGTCATCTAGCGATGACAGTACAGGAAGACAGGATTGTTGTCATTCAACAAGGACAGTGCGGACAGTTTTTAAATGGTCCCACGTCAAAGGTTGCCATAATTTTGTTTTCACAGTTGACACGTAAACACCACGACTGTATCGGTCGCGTGCCAAGCAGATATCTCGTAGCCTGGTTTAGCCGGTCATAAACTGAAAGTGGTGTACATGGATAGATTCAGCAAAATTTTGCCTGGTTTAACGACTGTTTGGAACGTTCTCTAACAACGCAGGAGCTGACACGAGCCGTTGTCAAGATGTCTCCATGTGCAACGTCCCCCCTGGGGCCCTATACGGTAGGCCAGGCACGCGACGTGTTTGCTTAGACAGGTTGTATATCTGGGACCCTATCAGCTTTCAGGAATCGTGTGTTACCCCAGGCTGGCTGGCAACAACGGTGACGTGCCTGAGGTAATTCAGCCCGTCAGGTCATTCAAGCTTGCAGTCAGCAGTGTTGTCGCGTTCTGTGACACTTAGCCGCAGCTGCCACTTGGCACTCCTCCAAAATATTTCTGAAATAACACACGCTACAGAAGACACGTCACCCACAGAAGACACGTCCCCCATAGAAGACACGTCACCCACAGAAGACACGTCCCCACCCCCACCCAAGACACGTCACCCACAAAAGACACGTCACCCACAGAAGACACGCCCCCCACAGAAGACACGTCACCTACAGAAGACAAGTCACCCACAGAAGACACGTCACCCACAAAAGACCCGTCCACCGCAGAAGACACGACCACCGCAGAAGACTCGTCACCCACAGAAGACACGTCACTCACAGACGACACGTCACCATTAGAAGATACGTCCCCCACACAAGACACGTCACCCACAGAAGACACGTTACCCACAGAAGACACGTCATCCACAGAAGACACGTTACCCAATGAAGACACGTCACCCACAGAAGACACGTCACCCACAGAAGACACGTCACCCACAGAAGACACGTCACCCACAGAAGAATCGTCACCCACAGAAGATACGGCACCCACAGAAGATCAAATCAGGAATAGATTCGACGTATTCAACCACTCGTTTTTGCATGAAGGAAAGAAGTGGGGATATATGACACAGTATGGCTGGGTTGTTTGTCAGTCAGCGATAAGACTTAATGTCATCTTGTGTTTGTCTCTCAGCGTTACGACTGCATGTACCATCTTGTCTTTGTCTCTCAGCGTTACGACTGCATGTGCCATCTTGTGTTTGTCTCTCAGCGTTACGACTGCATGTGCCATCTTGTGTTTGTCCCTCGGCGATACGACTGCATGTGGCAATTTGTGTTTGTCTCTCAGCGATACGACTGCATGTGCCATCTTGTGTTTGTCTCTCAGCGTTACGACTGCAGGTGCCATCTTGTGTTTGTCTCTCGGCGTTACGACTGCATGTGACATCTTGTGGTTTTGTCACGTGATATATTGTTCAACCATTGTCACATGTTATATTGTTGATGATTTCAGAATGCCGACCATGTACCAGGGAAGAACTGCTGGACTCCTACTGTTCCATGGACTTCGGTAAGTTGCTATGACTCTGCAGTAACGTATTGCGCGGTCGCTAGCGTGGCTGCTGCAGAAACAATATTCATGTGTTTGCAATCCCCATCGAGTAGCGATCCGTCACATGACTTATCGAGTAGCGATCAGTCACATGACCTATCGAGTAGAAGTTAGTCAAAGTTTGTTGCTCTAGCGAAGTTGGTTAAACCTGACTTTCGCGGCGGCCGGGTGCCGAACTCCTTGTGGTCCGGGTTCACTCCCGGGGGTAGGCAGAAAAGCCACATTTCTCCCAGATTAACGGTACCTATAATGGAATCAAGGCCGAAGGGTTGCGATATCAATAATACCGAGCCAAAGGGTTTACAACTCATGGTTTCTGGATACGTTAAAAAAAAAAAAAAAGAAGTTGACTTCGACAATGTCAGTTCTGACACCACTTGACTAGGCTTAGTAGAACGTCGTTCCTTGACCTGAATATTTGTTTATGTGAGTGACCGCCTACTCTGTGGCCGAGTTTATTGTTTGATATCTTGGCTTCAGGTCCAACCCCCTTCACTTCCCTACACTGGAGATACCCCCTAACCCTTTCTTTGTTCTCACTTTCTTCATCGGTGATCGTTGTCCAGACCAGGTATCCTGTTTCCAGGTCAGCCACAGAAAGTGTGAAATCTCCATTTTGCCCACCTGAAAGTCAAACAGGTGAATCACCTGGTACTGGCTACCTAATACCCGACCTACCCCTCTGCTACCCGACCTGTGCCAGTGACCCGGCTAAAGCATCCAGTCAACATCCTGTCTGACAACCACCTTTGTGATCAGACAATGGACGCGGCCACTGAAATAGTTTTGACCCCTGGACAATGGATGCTCACGCTGAAACAGGACACTGGCCTTTGACTGCTCCAGCCCCTGGAGGACAGTGGCGTTTGTGGGAGCCAGATATTTGTTGTCTGGAGGAATGTCTCGGCTTTTGGCGGGAAGCTGGACAGGTACTTTCCCGCTTGAACATCATCAGCACATATTGATGTTGATTTGGTTTCATCCACTCACCGTGGTTACAAAATACAGTGTGATATTTTCTTAGTAGTTCAGCTAGAAATGATTGTCAATGAGCAACAAGCGTTTTTGTGAGTAGAATAAAGTTCTAATAAAGGCTGAACATAGAAAGAAAGAGATGGTTATATTAAACCAATAACCAGCAGAAACCAGGCAATAGGGTTATGTTACTTGATGCGCGCGCACACACTCAGGGAGACACATTCAGTGACACAACAGCCACATAAACATAAGACGGCTCTAACAGGAGTCTGCAGTGACTAAGTCGAAAAAATTAACACTGGTCAGCTTAATGGTAATACATTTAGGAGTGACAGAATGAATTAAGTCGTAGAAAGTCTTCCTATAAACACTGCATGGGTACAAGTACATAGACAGGGCATGGGTACAAGCACATAGACAGGGCATGGGTACAAGTACATAGACAGGGCATGGGTACAAGCACATAGACAGGGCATGGGTACAAGTACATAGACAGGGCATGGGTACAAGTACATAGACAGGGCATGGGTACAAGTACATAGACAGGGCATGGGTACAAGTACATAGACAGGGCATGGGTACAAGCACATAGACAGGGCATGGGTACAAGTACATATACAGGGCATGGGTACAAGTACATAGACAGGGCATGGGTACAAGTACATAGACAGGGCATGGGTACAAGTACATAGACAGGACATAGGTTCAAGTACATATACAGGGCATAAAGTACAAGTGCACTAGAGGGAAACTACAAGTAAATAACATAAACTTTAGCACAAGTCATAAATGATACATTGATACATATACGTAAGGGGAAAAATCTACAGAAAAGTCAGATATTTTATCACAGTGTTTGAGTCCTAGAGCATTGAGACTATGTACAAGGTCCGGTATATGTGACAATCAGAGAAGAGATGCCACATGTCACCTCAGCTCATACCCCAGACATCAAGTGTCGGCGTAGAGACATCAAATCTCACCTCAGCCCATATCCCAGACATGTAGTGTCGGCGTAGAGACATCAAATCTCACCTCAGCCCATACCCCAGACAACAGTAGAGATGTAGCAGGGGTGACTGTTGCTGAAGGTCCACAAGTGGCTCAGCCTTGTTGGTCCACACGTGACCCAGCCCTGTCGGTCCACACGTGACCCAGCCTTGTCGGTCCACACGTGACCAAGCCTTGTTGGTCCACATGTGACCCAGCCCTGTCGGCCCAAGTGTGACCCAGCCTTGTTGGTCCACACGTCACCCAGCCTTGTTGGCCCACAAGTGACCCAGCCTTGTTGATCCACACGTGACCCAGCCCTGTCGGTCCACACATGATCCAGCCCTGTCGGTCAACACGTGACCCAGCCCTGTCGGTCCACACGTGACCCAGCCTTGTCGGTCCACACGTGACCCAGCCTTGTCATGGCAGATAAGGCATCTTTAGACGTGTCCTGATCTCTTTACTGGAACCACCATCGCTGCAGATTGTAGGAAAGTTTCCACTGGTCGTCGTCCCGACACGTCACCAGTTTTCTTCCAACTCTCTGTGCAGGATCTGCTGTGTGGCCACTTACTTGTACATTTAACTTTACATGTTGACATGGCGCTGGATCAATCTTTCAGACACTTGTCTCCGAGATCACACAGAAGATAGCGCTCTTCTTAAAACTCGTTTAATGCCACTCGTCAGTTATCACACTTTGTCGTATCACTTGTCGCATCACCATTATCGTTATCAGTTCTCGTTGAATTACTTTTAACGAGGTCAACACGTGAATACACACATCACGCACTAAAGATTGTCTTATCTTGTGAAGCTCAGTAATTATCTTCCCGTTGATATACAAGATTATCTGCCCGTTGATTCCCGAAGCGTGCCGAGAGCGGCCGGAGATGTACGAACGTGGAAATCAAACACTCTCCAGATAAGAAGAGTGGTTTTGAGCGGCAAACTACTTGGCCCTGCTCCAGGTTTATCCCTCATATAAATTTCACCATGGACAGTTGGGTGGTATTTATCAGATGTTTATTAATTTCTTCTATTGACGCTGTGTACACAGCTTGTTTCCGTTGTAGAACGAAAATGCTGACGTCTGCTGAAGGTGTGTGTGCGTGGATGGGGGATGGAAGGGGTGGGGTGGGAAAAAAAAAGGTGGGGGGGGGGGTGGTCTGCTAGCTACAGAACAAGCTGACTTCATTCAGAAAGCCAGCTAGAGATGGCCTGGTGGCTAGTGTACCTGCCTGCTGCGCCCACTGGTTCGGGTCTGTTTCTACTGTGCCCCTGTGTGTTCAAGGGCTCCTTTGTTGGGGAAAAACAAGAATAGAACCGCTACCTTCCTAGGGGAAAAACAAGAACAGAACCGCTACCTTCCTAGGGGGAAAAACAAGAACAGAACCGCTACCTTCCTAGGGGAAAAAACAAGAACAGAACCGCTGCCTTCCTGGAAAAACAAGAACAGAACCGCTGCCTTCCTAACAGGCATATCGTGGGCCTAGACTAATTAGTGAATTCTTTGAAAAGTCAGAGTGCATATGCCAGAGAAGCAAGGAACCAATAGTCTGCATACAATTAGGTCAAATCTGTAAAACAGATGTGCACACAGCCCTCAAGTTCTAGAACACTACTAAAATCCAGAAGTTGACGAAAAATCAGAACTTCCGGCTGGGCACGTGTACAGTAGGTAAACACGAAGAAGAAGTTTTTACTGTGAGAGTCTTGTTTGTTTGAAGACCATGCGACTGCTGATTAGACCCAGCCTTGTTTGTTTGAAGACCATGTGACAGCTGATTAGACCCAGCCTTGTTTGTTTGAAGACCATGTGACAGCTGATTAGACCCAGTCTTGTTTGTTTGGAGACCATGTGACAGCTGATTAGACCCAGCCTTGTTTGTTTGAAGACCATGTGACAGCTGATTAGACCCAGTCTTGTTTGTTTGGAGACCATGTGACAGCTGATTAGACCCAGCCTTGTTTGTTTGAATACCATGTGACAGCTGATTAGACCCAGCCTTGTTTGTTTGAATACTATGTGACAGCTGATTAGACCCAGCCTTGTTTGTTTAAAGACCATGTGACAGCTGATTAGACCCAGCCTTGTTTGTTTGAAGACCATGTGACAGCTGATTAGACCCAGCCTTGTTTGTTTGGAGACCATGTGACAGCTGATTAGACCCAGCCTTGTTTGGAGACCATGTGACAGCTGATTAGACCCAGCCTTGTTTGTTTGAAGACCATGTGACAGCTGATTAGACCCAGTCTTGTTTGTTTGGAGACCATGTGACTGCTGATTAGACCCAGCCTTGTTTGGAGACTATGTGACTGCTGATTAGACCCAGCCTTGTTTGTTTGAATACCATGTGACAGCTGATTAGACCCAGCCTTGTTTGTTTGGAGACTATGTGACTGCTGATTAGACCCAGCCTTGTTTGTTTGAATACCATGTGACAGCTGATTAGACCCAGCCTTGTTTGTTTGAAGACCATGTGACAGCTGATTAGACCCAGTCTTGTTTGTTTGGAGACCATGTGACTGCTGATTAGACCCAGCCTTGTTTGGAGACCATGTGACAGCTGATTAGACCCAGTCTTGTTTGTTTGGAGACCATGTGACAGCTGATTAGACCCAGCCTTGTTTGTTTGGAGACCATGTGACTGCTGATTAGACCCAGCCTTGTTTGGAGACCATGTGACTGCTGATTAGACCCAGCCTTGTTTGTTTGAATACCATGTGACAGCTGATTAGACCCAGCCTTGTTTGTTTGAATACCATGTGACTGCTGATTAGACCCAGCCTTGTTTGTTTGAATACCATGTGACTGCTGATTAGACCCAGCCTTGTTTGTTTGAATACCATGTGACTGCTGATTAGACCCAGCCTTGTTTGGAGACCATGTGACTGCTGATTAGACCCAGCTTTGTTGGTTTGGAGACCAAGTGACTGCTGATTAGACCCAGCTTTGTTGGTTTGGAGACCATGTGACTGCATTTAGACCCAGCTTTGTTGATTTGGAGACCATGTGACTGCTGATTAGACCCAGCTTTGTTGGTTTGGAGACCATGTGACTGCATTTAGACCCAGCTTTGTTGGTTTGGAGACCATATGACTGCTGATTAGACCCAGCCTTGTTTGATGGATACCATAAAACTATCAGGAATATTAGATGACCAGGGAAAGGTAAACGGGAGGGGGCTGCTGACCTGTTCAGCCATAAATGTCGTTGGTCAAGAAATTCAGAGCCCAGGAAATTCAAACATGCCATGATGGTCCGGAAACAGGAGCTGTGACCTCACAGAATCTGGTGGTGTCTCTGGGGTTGGAATCTCGTGTATCTTTAGTTACCAGCAATTGTGTCTGTGTATGCTCAGCAAGTATATGTCAGATATTCATCTCACGTCTGTTTTGTCTTTCAGTGGTGGTTGGTATCATGGCCCATGTGGCTAACAGTGAAGTCCGGGAGCATTCCAACATCACTGTGCATGTCAAACAGCTGATTCACCAGCGGCAGAGCCATTTCTTCCAGCGGATCCAGAGGTCAGACTCTCACCTGACAGGTCATGTGACTGTTCCCAGGAAATGTGGGATGCGGAAAAGTGAGGGTGACCTGATCCTGACTGGCAGGTACCGACTGGAGTCGCTGACTCTCAGGTGTGCTTCCTACCTCCATGACTGGAGAAAGATACAACATGAGGTGGAGTGCTCGCACAACTGAAGCGGGTGGAACATTTATCACAAGTGTCAGGCTTCATGGTGAAGCCTCCAGGCTCGGTCCCAGGTGAAGCATTAGAGAGCACCTGCCACTGCATGCCTAGGTCCAGATGTAGATTTACAGGAACACAAGTTGGAAGTCCTGGATGAAATGGTCAGACCATCAGGAGTGGCATGTCATCAGCACTTCCACAGTCATTCAGAAGGTTGCTATCGTTTCTATCTTGTGTAAACATGCTCTTTCATCTTGGAGACAGGCAACATTGGCTGACTAAAACTCCAGTGATTTTGTGAAGTAATATTGCGAAATAATATTGCGAAGTGATATTGTGAAGTGATATTCCCTGATGAAAACAGATACGCTCCCAGAAGACATAATTTGTGTATATCAAATCTCTCACTACCATGTGGCGTATGAGTTTTCTAATGTACTTCACATGTGACTTAAAGTGCTGCAACACATGCAGACAAGCTGCGATAGAAAGGTGTTGTGCATGTTTAGATACAAACTTAGGGCTTTCACACCTAAAGACAAAATATTCAAACTTTAAGAAGAGCTTGCCAACAGATCTCTGCCTGGTTACTCCAGAACTGACCAGTAGATCTCTGCCTGGTTACTCCAGAACTGACCAGTAGATTTCTACCTGGTTACACCAACACTGACCAGTAGATCTCTGCCTGGTTACTCCAGAACTGACCAGTAGATCTCTGCCTGGTTACTCCAGAACTGACCAGTAGATTTCTGCCTGGTTACTGCAACACTGACCAGTAGATCTCTGCCTGGTTCCTCTAGAATTGACCAGTAGATCTCTGCCTGGTTACTCCAGAACTGACCAGTAGATCTCTGCCTGGTTACTGCAGAACTGACCAGTAGGTCTCTCCTTGGTTACTCCAGAACTGACCAGTAGATCTCTGCCTAGTTACTCCAGAACTGACCAGTAGATCTCTGCCTGGTTACTCCAGAACTGACCAGTAGATCTCTGCCTGGTTACTCCAACACTGACCAGTAGATCTCTGCCTGGTTACACTAGAGCTGGCCAGTAGATGCAGGGTGTCTTTTCAGTTGGTCACTGCTTGCTTACTCCAAAACTGACCAGCTGCTGTAGGTGGCATTCCAGTCGAGAACTTCACTGATTGTGAGACCAGTGTCCACTGTCAAAATCATCTGTTGCTTGTTGAGGATACTGTATTGTAGGGGTAACCTCTGACCCTAAAAACTGTGATGAATTCAACATGTAACATGCAAGCATAACAAAGGAAAGTTGTACATGCTTTCAGATACAAGCACATTTTTCTACCACAATCTTCATCAGTGGACAACAGTCAACAGGAATACTTTAATAGAAGACTGAGATATCTGTATGATGTTTGTTACATGTGTGAAATGACATCAGTAAGATGTGTGTGTATGTGAAATATGTAGCATGTGTGTTAATGACATCTGTAACATGTGTGTAAATAAAATCTGTAACATGTGGGTGAATTACATCTAAGATGTGTGTGTATGTGTATCAGTAAAAAATGTGTATGACATATGTAAGAAGTAGGCGAATAACACCAGTAAAATGTACATTTGTGTGAGATACATGTGTGTGTATAACATCTGGTGGTATGTGTGTGTGTGACATCTCATGGTATGTGTGTGTATGACATCTGGTGGTATGTGTGTGTATGAAATCTGGTGGTATGTGCGTGTATGAAATCTGTTTGTAACAGCCTTACGTCTTTACATTTTTTGGTATATGATGAGTGTAAGATTTGTGGACTTATGTGTGATGAGTGTAAGATTTGTGGACTTATGTGTGATGAGTGTAAGCTTTGTGGACTTGTGTATGATGAGTGAAAGATTTGTGGACTTGTGTATGATAAGTGTAAGATTTGTGGACGTGTATGAATGGCATTATTAAGACAGTGCTCATATGACACTGTAACAGCTGTTGTGATCATGATGTAATATAAATTAGTAACAGTGTTACATGTAAGGATGTCATCTCCATGACAACCTAAAATACTGTAATTATGGGATTGGAACTTATGACCACTGAACAGGTCCACCTCTGATGTAGCCATGGTATTAGACTGTAGCCAAATTAAGTTGTATCAAATAACTGAAATTTGTTTATATAAACTTATGTATATTTATGTCACGAGAGTTTTGTGTATATATGTAAATATTCATAATTGGAAAGATTCATAATGACAGATATATTTTAATGTTTACCTTGTTTTTCCTGTTTTTTTTTTAATTTTTATTTAAACAAGCACTCAAGAAGAAAGTCTGGGCAACTAATGTCTGAAGAAGTCAGATGTGTCTGCCAAAAACGTGCAAATACAGTTGTCATGCTGTAAACGGGCACAATGCAGTCAGATCCTGAATGAAACAAAGAAGCAGATGAAGAATTTAGATGTTAGAGAAACATTCTTAGAAAACACCAAGCAGGAGGATTGATGACATGACACAGAAGGGTGGGGGGGGGTTAGTGGTCGAGTCTGTTCATGATGACATGACACGGAAGGGTGGGGGGTTTAGTGGTCGAGTCTGTTCATGATGACATGATACGGAAGGGTGGGGGGGTTTAGTGGTCGAGTCTGTTCATGATGACATGACACGGAAGGGTGGGGGGTTAGTGGTCAAGTCTGTTCATGATGACATGACACGGAAGGGTGGGGGGTTAGTGGTCAAGTCTGTTCATGATGACATGACACGGAAGGGTGGGGGGTTTAGTGGTCGAGTCTGTTCATGATGACATGATACGGAAGGGTGGGGGGTTAGTGGTCGAGTCTGTTCATGATGACATGATACGGAAGGGTGGGGGGTTAGTGGTCGAGTCTGTTCATGATGACATGACACGGAAGGGTGGGGGGTTAGTGGTCGAGTCTGTTCATGATGACATGACATAGAAGGGGGGGGGGGGGGGGTTAGTGGTCGAGTCTGTTCATGATGACATGACACGGAAGGGGTGGGGGGTTAGTGGTCGAGTCTGTTCATGATGACATGACACGGAAGGGTGGGGGGTTAGTGGTCGAGTCTGTTCATGATGACATGACACGGAAGGTGGGGGGGTTAGTGGTCGAGTCTGTTCATGATGACATGACACGGAAGGGTGGGGGGTTAGTGGTCAAGTCTGTTCATGATGACATGACACGAAGGGTGGGGGGTTAGTGGTCGAGTCTGTTCATGATGACATGACACGGAAGGGTGGGGGGTTAGTGGTCAAGTCTGTTCATGATGACATGACACGGAAGGGTGGGGGTTAGTGGTCGAGTCTGTTCATGATGACATGATACGGAAGGGGGGGGGGGGTTAGTGGTCGAGTCTGTTCATGATGACATGACACGGAAGGGTGGGGGGTTAGTGGTCGAGTCTGTTCATGATGACATGACACGGAAGGGTGGGGGGGTTAGTGGTCGAGTCTGTTCATGATGACATGACACGGAAGGGTGGGGGGTTAGTGGTCGAGTCTGTTCATGATGACATGACATAGAAGGGTGGGGGGGTTAGTGGTCGAGTCTGTTCATGATGACATGACACGGAAGGGTGGGGGGTTAGTGGTCGAGTCTGTTCATGATGACATGGGGGTTACACTGAAGGGTGGGGGGTTAGTGGTCGAGTCTGTTCATGATGACATGACACAGAAGGGTGGGGGGTTAGTGGTCGAGTCTGTTCATGATGACATGACACGGAAGGGTGGGGGGTTAGTGGTCAAGTCTGTTCATGATGACATGACACGGAAGGGTGGGGGGTTAGTGGTCAAGTCTGTTCATGATGACATGATACGGGGGTGGGGGGTTAGTGGTCGAGTCTGTTCATGATGACATGACACAGAAGGGTGGGGGGTTAGTGGTCGAGTCTGTTCATGATGACATGACACGGAAGGGTGGGGGTTAGTGGTCAAGTCTGTTCATGATGACATGACACGGAAGGGTGGGGGGTTAGTGGTCGAGTCTGTTCATGATGACATGACACGGAAGGGTGGGGGGTTAGTGGTCGAGTCTGTTCATGATGACATGACACGGAAGGGTGGGGGGTTAGTGGTCGAGTCTGTTCATGATGACATGACACGGAAGGGTGGGGGGTTAGTGGTCGAGTCTGTTCATGATGACATGATACGGAAGGGGGGGGGGTGGGGTGTTAGTCGAGTCTGTTCATGATGACATGATACGGGGTGGGGGGGGGGGGTTTAGTGGTCGATAGTTTTATGATGACATGATAGGGGAGGGGGGGGGGGGGGGGGGGGTTTAGTGGTTAAGCTACGTCTGTTTATGATGGGGAGAAGGGGGGAGGTTAGTGGTCAAGTCTGTTTATGATGGGTAGAGGGGGGGGGGGGGTTAGTGGTGAAGTCTGTTTATGATGGGGAGAGGGGGGAGGTTAGTGGTCAAGTCTGTTTATGATGGGGAGGGGGGAGGGTTAGTGGTCAAGTCTGTTTATGATGGGGAGAGGGGGGAGGTTAGTGGTCAAGTCTGTTTTATGATGGGGAGGGGGGGGAGGTTTAGTGGTGAAGTCTGTTTATGATGGGGAGAGGGGGGAGGTTAGTGGGTGAAGTCTGTTTATGATGGGGAGAAAGGGGGGAGGTTAGTGAGTCAAGTCTGTTTATGATGGGGATGGGGGGAAGGTTAGTGGTCAAGTCTGTTCATGATGACAATGACACGGAAGGGTGGGGGGTTAGTGGTCGAGTCTGTTCATGATGACATGATACGGAAGGGTGGGGGGTTAGTGGTCGAGTCTGTTCATGATGACATGATACGGAAGGGTGGGGGGTTAGTGGTCGAGTCTGTTCATGATGACATGACACGGAAGGGTGGGGGGTTAGTGGTCGAGTCTGTTCATGATGACATGACACGGAAGGGGGGGGGGGGGGTTAGTGGTCGAGTCTGTTCATGATGACATGACACGGAAGGGTGGGGGGTTAGTGGTCGAGTCTGTTCATGATGTACATGACACGGAAGGGTGGGGGGGTTAGTGGTCATGAGTCTGACACGGATGATCGACATGACACAGAAGGG